TAGTTATAAAAAGTTCCCTGCTGTACTGACAAATCTATTTTGATTTTGCTTCTTCCATTGTTCTATTCATTTCAAGTGGAAGTATACTGCGAAGCAAATTTACCAATCCACGTTTATTATTATTCTCTCAGATTTGACTCGCAGAAGACTTACATTTGATAAAACAACCGGACATGGTTTGAGTCACCGTATGTACAAGATAGCGTACATGGCTGTGTAGATATGTTGGTATACGACCTAAACTAACTCAAATTATTGTTATTCTTTTTTCATAGATATAACCTACGCTGTACCACCTCGGAAGTAATTGAGAGAAAAAAAAAACATTGGAAAAACCTCATAACATTTCCGCTCTCTTCGTCTCATCACTTTTTTCGTTTGTACTACAAGCAGTAGTTGCTTGAGCTCGCACGTTCCCATTTTTGTGCTAGGAACTCGTTCACTTTTCATCGTTTTTTGAACTGGTTGCCTTTTAAAGAAACAAACGAATTACTCTTTAGCTCTATATTTTTTGGAATTTTCTATTAGCATGGATCTGATTTCTATGCTCATTTGTTCGTACTGGCAATCATCGTGCGATAGCTGTTGTAAGAAAAATAGTAAATTCCCGATGGGTAAATTTTGCTGTGGTATTAGTCGTAGCAAAGGTATTTCTGCATTCTTTTATCAAATAGTTGTTGTTTAGTTAGTTTTTTTAGCTGCTCACATCTATAAACTGGCAAGTTGGCAAGTTGGAAACCGTTTCTTTGACAATTTTCGTTGTTATCTTCCTCGTAGCATTAAATACTAGATCTATTACAACCAAAATCTACATTACAAAAACCAGAAACTTGTTACATTGGATACTCATTTTTTGTGAAAGTTGTCATTCTAGAGAAGTAGAAAGTTTATACGTTGTATGTACATGCTGCTATCCCTTCATGATTTTCAAGTCGAAGCAAGAGTCCGAGATTTACTTTATTTATTTATTATACTTATATTTATTTATTTATTTATTTATTTATCTATCAATACACTTGAAGTGCGCCGAAAAAAGCAACTTAAACAAATGGGGTGTCAGCTAGTCCCAAAACTCAGGCAGATAAAAAAGACATAGAAGAAAACAATTACAAATCAAACACTGCAGATCACTGAAATATAAATCAATATACTTATGCTTTACTTTATTAAGAAAACAGCGTTTATGATTTGCAGCAAATTTTATGACGACGATTGGAATGCATATTTTCTAGTTTTTGCTGCACGTTAAGCAATTCATAGAAGTTTTACGGTGTCTCTAAATGCTATCTCTTCAGCAGAAGCTGACTTTATTGTTTGCGTAATAGGGCGCAAGCGGAATATCGATTCTAATAAGACATTTTAAAGGCTCCGCTGCGCGCTTTACGTACAATGACCGCTATTTGACGCGCAGAACGTAGTAAATTCTACTATCACTCCTGTGCACCGACGGATACGGTAGCAATTGCCGATGGCGGTGTACGGTGCAACATTTGTATGTATGTGGGGGTGTCTTTGACAAACAGCCACAGCACAAAACGGTTTCCCCTTCAAGCTTCTGCTACGACACGACGACGACACGACCCCCGTCAGCAGCCAGTTTGTAGTCAGTGTGCGTTTTCGGTCGTAATTAGGAGGCGTCTATCCAGTTTGGATCGCCGGTGCTGCTTTTCGGTTTCGTCTTCACCTGTTCGCCGGAAAAGGACATTATCTTTGCTGTCGGCACACACTTTGTTTTGTGTGTGTCGTGTCGTGTGTCGTGTTGTGTATGTCTGTGTGAAAGAGAGAGGCATTTTTGCAGTTTTGTAGATATGCAACTTAATGTTTAAAGAATAATGTAGTTTTGTAGGTTTATACTTTCATAAAACATTGCTCTTGCATTTCCACTTTGCGATTACGTATCATCCACTATGCTATTTTCAGCTTGATTCGTAACTCTTGCACAAAAATTTTCAAAAATCGTCTTTATGAAAAATTAACTCAATTTGATATAATTTAGAAAGAGCAAATAGTGCGCTTTCTAATAGTGGTTAAAGAAATCCATTTTTTCATATCACGGTGATATAAGCTGATTAAGAGGAACCCATATTGTACTTTTCTGACCAAGAAAATCCGATTTTATTTCTGTTTATGATTTTACAACTTACTCATTTTGTCCGGGAAACTTAGAATTGGATTTCTGCCAGTAGTTATAATTTTCAACTATTTCAACTCAACATTTCATTTTTTTCGAATAAAAGTTTTGATGTAGATAGGTGATTAGAGCACCTACTGTAGGTTTCATATAGGATATAACTTAAAACATTGTTTTGAATATTTTTAAGGTGTTTAGCACTTTTGATGCAAGACTTATGGATTAACCTATTAGAATGCTCAAAACGCTGTTGCAAATTCTTTACGAAGGTTAAACTTGTTTTCTCACGAAGCGATAAATTATGTACAAACGTTGAAATATAATTATGAACATTATGATCAGACGTACACAAAGCTATCTTGAGCTTTCTAGTCATAAAATGGATGATAGTGTTCTTTTATGATGGGCTTGAATTTTTCACCCACTCAACAAGAACGACGAGCTAGAATAAGCAGTTTAGTTTTGGTCTCAAAGATGTAAGTATTGCTCTAGATATTCATACGAAGTAGTGGCGGTAAGTTGGTTTGTTTGAATGTTTTGTTAATTAATATCATGTTTTCGGTCTGTATAAAATCTCTATCTTACATAATTCTCGGTAAACGATCTTGCTTTGGTGCTATCCTCTACTGTAAAATTCAAGGAAGTGAGAAGAACTGAGCTCGTTATCGTGAAATATGAATTGATATTGATTTACCAAAATCCTAGAATCGAATTAGAATTTTTGTGCGGGAGATTATTCAGACATTTCTGTATAAAATATGGCTCAATTCACACCTCAGCTACAAAATTTATGGTAAAAGTCTGTTTTTTGCTCGAAGTCGGGCTCACTTATAATTTTTACAATCTATTTGATCTCAAACATAATCTGGCTCAATAATTTTGTAGAGATTTACAAAAAAATATACTCTCAAATATTCTTCAAATTTTTATTTCTACATCATTTTTTTACTCTCAGAATGAGCGAATGACTTCAAAACTTCCAAACATTGCGCCGATTATCTCATACAATGTTTAACATTCAAAAAGCCCCTCTTAACCGACCCCGTCCGCGCCCCCGTCATCTCCTTCCACCGTCTTCGTGTGTTGCGCCCCGAAGGGGGGTGAAATCACGTTTCTGCGCTTTGCCATCGCAGCCCCGTCTCTTTATCCACGTTCATCATTTTCGACTTTTTCGTTGCAAGACAAGCTGTTCAGTCTTTTGCAACATTACAGTTTTTATCTACGTTCTTTTTTTGAGCTCATTTTCCCCGGCTATTCTTCAATTTTGCGTGCTTTGTTTGCATTTCTGGGCTGTTTGATATCATTACTTTGCTTTCATCTATCCGAATAAATTCTATATTTTTGATCAAAATCCCGTCGAAATTCTCAAAAAATGAGCTCGCTGTTCTTGATCATGTCAGTAAAATGACGATTGACATAAATACAGTACCTACCAACATTCTGTAAAACTTTATTTAGTACAATAAATTCTATACAAAATAACATCTTTTCTCCGAGTTTTCCTTTGCAAATATTCCTCACAAGTAAAAAGATTCTAAATACGAGAGATAGAACTAGATAGACTCACTTGAATGTTGCGCGACAGTAGTGCGAATCTATTTCCTTGTTCTAGAACTGGCATTGCTTCCGATCCACTGCATTTCAATTGCCGAAAATATGTTCGAATATGTGTGGAGAAGTGTGTGTATGTTTAGTGGCAAATCTGTGGAATATTCTCCATTTCTCCACTTCTGTGTATCTTATCGGATTGTTTTGAATTTTCTGCTTTTTTTTGAATACATCAAAGGCTTGTCAAATTGAGTTTAGAGGTGCTATGTGAATTTAGTTGATCAGTTTTGGGAAGGTATAGGGCTTATGTTTATTCCCCTTGAAGCGCATATTATAAAAGTAAAGAATAAAACTTCTTACCAATCAGAGAATTAAATTTAAGACATTATCATACTAAGAAAGATGTCATACTATCAATAATGTTCTCCTCAAAATTTATTTTTGCTAAGGAATATCAACGAAATTTAGAGTAAAGGGGCTATGGGTTTTATTTTTATATAGCGCCAAAATCCTTCTTATTGTAGTATAATAACATTATTTGTTAATTTTTGATTTTGAAGTAAGTGTTCCAGTCGTTTTCTTTTTATACCAAATAATTTTGAATAATTGGAACAATTTTTTTTACAGACTAGTGAACCAGTAAATCTCAAAGGTGCTAAAGTTGCAGGTGCGCTCGCTTCGGGACCCGCATGGTTTCCCGCTATCTGATAATTGTGTGCACCTTACGATTCTTTATATATTAGATTAAAAAGGTTTTGAAAGCATTTCAAGTAATTGTCATTTTTGAAAATGCTAAAACTCAGCGGAAATTGTTTTCAGTGATCTAAATCTTGCAATCCTTGATCAAGTTCGCCTTTGGCGGTGATATCATATCCATCTTCCGTTGCACGAAGTATTTCCTGTTTCAAGAAAGAATCCTCTTAACTTGGCAGCCGACAGGCTCAATTCCTCGTTGACAAATGAGTCTATTAGTGTCGATGTAGCGTTATGTTGTTGTGCTGCTTGTGCCTCCTCATTCTGACAAGCCCGAAACTGTAAATGACGACGTATTTCGGCGAATCTCGTCCATAGCCGAGGCAGAACAGCCGGTTTATGTGTGCATTTGATGGATAGACAATCCCCACGCACTCGATCGCTTCCCTTAGCTGTCATTCGCGCGACAATGCCTACACTTTTGATCAATAATAACTTATGTTACATGTTAGATGAATAAGTAAGACACTCAGCCTTGAGGAAGAAGCTCTCTTGGCTTTGATTTTTCCAAAAAGCAAATTTATTTATAAATTTTTCTGGCCCAATTACCATTGCTGCTTACAGGAGTGAGAGCGGCAGGAGATGCGAGTTCGGTTACTGCTGGCCGTGTTGCTGGCTGGATGTGTGGAGTCTCAAAACCTGGCCAGTGAGGTTTCAGATTTCCTCTCCGTGGATATTCTGGATGCTGAACGGTCGGCGGTTTGTCCAAAGTCGTTCTCATCCAGAACATTTCATCCATTTCAACATTTTAACTATTATCTTACTTCTCAAAGCAACTATGTAACAGCGTTAAACGTGCGTTTCAGATGGACTTTTCGCTGAAACTGGATCGAACGCCGGATTCGTTTCAAGGATTAACCAGAAGGTTAAGCCCATGTAATTTTGTAGCTGCATTCGATGAACAAATCAGCTGTGTGCTTTAAGAATCATTCAAATTACTTCATTCTTTTGAATATCTGCTACCCTCAAATTATTTACGAAAAATGTGTAAGAAAAGGAAGGATTGAAGACGGGTTGAGGTCATAGAGCTATCTAGTCATGAGCAAAATCGTTGAAAATCTTGTTTTTTTTTTGAAAGAAACATCAGAGCTGTAGCAAGAAGGTGTGGAAGACATAGCAGAAGTTTCTACCAATTTATAATCTAATGGATGGTAGAAATCAATCGACTGTGCCATATATCCCAGTATATAAGTTTCTAGTGAAACGGGAAATTTTTCTAAGTCTTTCCAAAGCAAAGATCTCATATGTGCTATGCATTTGTACTTGGTTTGTATCAAAGGTACCTAACTGATAATTTAGATTGGCATCCCTTAATTTTTAAAGTTTGGATTCTTAATTATTCCCATTTTTTCTCTATAATTTGTATTTTTCTTTAGTTTTGTAGCTCTGAGTATGAAAAAATGTAAGAATTTATTGCACGAATTTTTTCAAAAATGCGGCAAAATTATGAATTTCTCGTAAATCTTTGAAAACTCCTTTTTTCCAGGGATTTGACCTAATGGCCGGTTACCTTGGCGAAAGAGTGAAAAGATTTCTTGGTGCTGGAGAACTAATCTTTAACATCTCGGCCGCTGTGTCACCAGAAGTAAGTACATAAAAAATGTGGTTTTGGAAATCGTTCTCTATATTTTCGATTGTGTTCTAGATGAGGATCACTCTAACATCAGTGAGAGTCACAGATTTTGACTCAACCTCATTCGCATCGAAAATGGTAGCGATTCCTGGTAAAGGTATCGCTTGGAGAGTGAGTTATCCATTGATGATAAAAAAATAATGTAGTATCAAGTAATTTGTACAAAGGAGAAGGAATACAATGAAAACAGTGTATAATAACATTTCCTTTTTTCTACAATTTTCTCAAATATGCTCGCGCTTTCAAGCTCGATAATACTTTTTTACACTCCCACTAGCTTGGCTCGTGTTCTGATGAGTTTTTCAGGCGCAGAATTTTCGATCACAAATTTGTAAATCTATTTTGTATCAATGATCTTATAAATTGCACATTTACAATGTATTCGCAGTGAGGATACAGTATATACTATACCAGTTACGGTATGACTCATGCTTGAAAGATTTTGCTGATTGTCCTGTTACAGTAACGCCTAATGATAAGCACTTCCGAAAATGAGATACTGTAGGCTACTGTAACTATATTTCCCATAATGTGCACAAAATTTGCTCTATATCATTTAATTTCTCTCAAATGTAGATCAGTTAAAATTGCATATTTTTAGGGCTCCAATCTAAATGTGACCGTGTTAACATCATTTCAACTGAATACTCCTAGTGGAGAATTGACTGGCTCTTCTCCGCTCTCATTTGACAGGTGTTTTTCATTTTTCTGAGCTAGGTAAATTTTCATAGCAAATTATGTGTCCTAGGACAAATGTTGAGTTGCTGCTTTGGACTGGAGTGAACTCAGATGGACATTTGAAAACGGATTTAGTCACCTGCAAGGTTAACTTTTCATAATTTAAACGGTTTTAATTTTAAAAATCCTTTTCCAGGTAGCCGCCAATAATGTCGAGCTGACATTGGCTGCAGCTGACAAAGCCATTGCTAACTATCTTCCTGTAATTATGCATTTTGTTAAGGAACGAATAGAACAAGTAAAATTCAATAATTCAGCTTATTTCCATTGTTTCTATTGGATTTTTCAAGGCAATCTGTCCATCATTCCATGCAGAACTCGTACCAGTTGTGTCAAATCGTCTGATGAATACGCCTATGAGCGCATCCTTATTTGAGCACTTTTTCGTGAACTACGGACTTTTGAGTCCTGTGGAATACTCGGACACGAGAGTTACAATGAGACATCGAGGGAATTCGTTTGGCATACTTCGTCAAGGTAGTTTTTGCCTAAATCATAAAGCTTAAAATTTGTTCCCAAATTTTTTTTGGATAAAATTGAGATCAGGTCAAAGTTTTGAAGTTTTTTTTTCTTGAGCTCTGTAGCTGTCAATTTCAATATTGTCTTCCCATGTCCCTCGAAAAGGGAGAAATGCCTATCAAATTGATATTTTTGATTTTTACGCTTAATGTTTTCTAATCGCCGTTTTACTGTTGTTTAATAATCCATTCTGTTTCAGGTCGAACTCGTCTGAATGATTTCCGCCTACCTTTCCGCGCTCCGCCACTCAACGAAGGGATTTCAAGCGATAAAATGATTGATTTCGTTCTTTCTAATTATACAATGACGAGTCTACTATTTTGGATGGATCAATACAGGTAAACAAATAGCAAATAAATAAATATATGGCAATTTTAAAAGTTTTTTTCTAAACCCCTTCATTGTTTAACTTTTGCTTTGAAATTTTGAAAAGTTGAGATATTGTAATAAGTCCACTTTCCACGTGTTTGTTATGATTTTCATGAGGGGTGGAAGGGATTTTTGTTATCAAATTCTAAGCGTTTTACAGCGATTTTACCGCAAACATTTTTCTTTGCTTCTCATACTTTTCAACTTTCTAAGCGCAGCTATCTCCTCTCTACAATTTTTATTTTGCATATTTTCCTCCAATTTTTTTGAAAGCGATTCCGCTTGTATTTTTCTCGAAATGACATTTTGTATCTTTTACTTTTATTTATACACAATGCAGAACTCGTTTCCGACATTTTAAGCTAAACTAGCTTATTTGTTTTTTTAATGTTATCAATTTCCCTTATTCCCTGCAAATCCACTTTGATTTGATCAGCTCGATTGCTTTTCATTTCATCAGGCGAATCAGCGAATGGTTTGAGCTTTTGAATTTTTTCTTGAAATGATCTTTCACCTTGGCTAATTCTTTTAACTTTCGATTAAACGCAGCGATAAAATTTCACCACTGATCAGGATATCAACTGACCTTAAAAAATGAAAAAACTTTTAATTCGAATAGGCATCTCATGCTGTTCCTCGGTATCAATTTCTTAGCTTTAAATTAGGCCTTAGTAAGTTCTCTCAAAATCAAGTCATATTTTCTAGGAAATTTGACTATGAGATCAGTCGAACTGCTCAGAACAACTCAGCCATCGCAGGATATCTGAAAACCGACTGCCCAGGCGATGATATTTGTGCCGGAACTTTATTCCCAGGTAAGCAAAATTTCCCAAGAAATTTCAAAAACATCTGCCTTGACGAATGTAACACGACAGCTGATACAAAAAAAAACGCGCTTTACACAACCTGCGTAAATGGTTCCCATTCGAACACAAATCTGATGCACGCAATCGGCTTGAATAATCATGCAAGATCCCGTATTAGCCTCCATATACCGTAAATCGTTGTTAATTCGTCACTAAACCTGTTGTATAACGGAGAGATTTTTGCAGCTCTTGGACAACGATTTCCCGGTGGTGAGGTCATCATCAAGTCGCATACGATCTCGTATCCACGAATTACGCTTAATGATGGCAATGCTACGATATACATTGACTCACGGGTTGACGCTTTTGTACAGGTGTGAAGAGAGGGGGGGGGGGTATTGACTTCTGAATTTACACAAATTACAGCAAGGAGATCGAACGCGAAGATTTCTGACAGCAGCGATGGATGCAGAAGCCAAGCTGGAAAAGTTTAGTTTGTTGTACTCTTACCTTTAGTAGGTTACTTATCACTTAGCGTTTCGTTATTACTTGAAAATCTTTGGCACTAATTTGAAGCAAACATCCATTTTACTGGAGACGAGTCACGTCGCTTATGTAGGAACAATCACCTATTAAGACGAACTAACTTCGAGTATAGCCACCGCTAAACAAAAGCAATTTTCTTAATTTCGAGTTATATTCCCTAGCTCGGTAGTCATTCAGCAGTTTAGTGATGTAAGTACATTTTACTTCTCATGATTTATTCTGAAAAGCGTTACGAAATATCGGCTGTATGGACTCGATAAGTACGTTGCGAAGAAAGTCCATCTACTTCCGTCTTTGCTTAAGTTAGGAGTTGAACTTTTACCACAGTCCCCTTATTATTCTATAATACTTTTTGGCTTTAAGGTTTATTCTTCCGATTTCCAAAGTAGGACCGGCTGATATTTTTGTTTCCTGGCTTGTAAAAGAGTATCTTATCACCGGAAACTTACAGTAACGGCAAAGACTCAAACTAATCTTGAGAGAGTCATGCACAAACTCGCCATCCATTTTGATGAAAATTTATAATGAAAATCAATGGATCAAAACTAACTCATCAAAGATTCAATCTTGAGTTTTTTATGCCCGATAAGATTGGTATAATAGCAGTTATGGGTCAATGAACATTTTTTGAGTAATTTCAATAACATTATGCCAAAAATCTTCAGGATTGAATTTTCCAAAAATGCCTTCAAATTTTACAAACCGTAAACATTCTAATTACTATAAAAATTCGTTTTTTAATTTTCTTTGGTAATTTTTCGTAAGCCATGACTTCTTTACTTGCCTATACGCATTAGATCTCCTTGCATTTCGATAGACAGCTATTTTTCATTCATCAGAGAATACTTACATTTTCATATATTGTACTAATACAACATAGACTACACTACGTATATTGTAGTGTTTGCAAGTGATTCTTTTACTCATCTGCTAGAATCATCTATTTTAGGTTTCATTTCGAGATTACATCCTACATGCCGACATGCACATCGAGCGATTCAAAATCAGAGAGGTGACGCTTTCAATTTTCTGCATTTAATGTTCCTAAACTTTCACTAAAAACCTTCTAATCAGGTAGCTTCGCTAGTGGATGGCATCGATGAGGGCTCTTTGGAATTTTTAGTCAATGCTCTTACCGAGCTGATTTTGAATGAGGACATGGCGAAGAAGTTGAAGGGAGGTAAGCAGCGATGAGACCTTACCATCGAATGTTTCGGTGTTGTTTGCGCAGTTTTTTCTTTTGAAGGAGTGGAAGCCTCAATTGAATCATATAAAACCAAAAATTATCGTTTTTTTCTCAGAGTGGACATACTCTAATAAGAATTATATGCTTGTATTGAGTTGATCCATAAGTAATGCGTCAAAAAATTAGAGAATTCGTTTCCAATCAGAAATATTTTGCTTCATATTGTATCTCATCGTATATAACAAATGTTGTATGAGTTTCTGTAAGAAACAAAATTTAATTGTTGACTAAAACACTTATTTCTGCAATTTCATACTGTTTAGCCAAATTCTCAATCTTACCGAGTTTTTTTGTAAACCACAGTTGGAAGTAAAGTCAAAATATTATGGGCTTAGTATTTTAGCGACAGAAATTTGTAAAAATTGCGGTCTGATTGTGTTTATTTATTAGCGATCTAATATCAGCTGTAGCGTTATATGATTGAATAAAAGTATTCTAACATGAATTAGGCTACAATTAGGATAAGTTTTGCTTCTCTGGAGTTGAACAGATAGGCCTAGCTGATTTTGGTTTACCTTATACTACTTCTATCAGTGCAAACAAAATAGGACTATTATAGGCATCCATCTGCCGATAATCTTCGATTTCGAACAAACATCGTCCGAAGTGGTTTTCGAAAAAGATCGCTTGCGCATCTCGGCCGATTACTGTTACGGTGACATCTGTCGGACGGCTACGGTAGCCGAGAGTAAAGACACTAATATTGACTACTATGACGTCATACAAGGGTAAAGAACGGATGAATATTTGAATTTGTACACTCTAAACACACTCCTACTTGCTCTTCCATTCCACATAGATTTCCGAACACGAATTCTGTCTCTGCCGTTGAGCCTTCACTAATCTTACTGCGGGTAGCGCTGTTATATCGATATGATTTGCTGTCATTCATTGTGTGTATCCACTCTTCGGATTCTCCATGGCGATATTTTTTTTATCATCAGTGGTTGTCAATATAAACACGTATATGAGTACATATTTATATGCATATACATATGTACTTGTCTGTACCTTTTGTGGTTTTTTTGTCTGTATATTAGTTTTATTTTCGTCTTTTCTTCTAATTATTATCAATCGCTGTTGTCAGTCCCTGTTTTCTCTACAGACACGTGGTTTCTTTGTATACTTGAATAAATTGTAGACTGTTTGGGTAAGCGAGTGGAAATTGAAGTGAGGATACAGTATCCAATAACTTCTTTATGGAAGAGCCGTACAAAATTTGAAAGTAGAGCAGACTTTGGCTGTCAATTTTCAATTTTACGCAGCATAGGCAACTTTTCAGTGTTTTCCCTTGCTGCCTACGGTATCAATACAGTAATCAGCATACAATGTCACAAATGTGAGTTAAGTTTTTGATTCTTCTTTTTGCCACAATTTGTGCGAGTTATCAGTTATTAGTTATAGTTATTACGAGTTATTATTATGCGAGTTATGTAAGAAGTAGTCACAAAGAGACGAAGCCGTTCTCCTAAAAATGCGATTTTTACCCTTCTCCCCTCCCCCGCCCTCGGCTATCTTCCTCCCAGTAACGATAATCCATTATGTAAGAACAAATGCGATAATGTACTGGTAAAGCACTTCACAAATGTCTGAACTTGTTGTTTGATAGCAAATGCTAATTTTATAATGATTGAGTGCAGCTATTGGGTTGTTTAATAAGTTTTTTTAGTTTCAAGTTTTCATTTTTCACCGCAAGAACTTATAAACTTCTCAATTCTGATCAGGAAGCAAGCTATCATGCGATAGAGCTAAGCAACTATAAGATGGCAGTAAGCGTAGGCACCAGCTTCTTACATCTCGAGCTAGAAGCCAAAATCTAGGAAGTTTCGGATGTTCAAAAAATTAACTGAAAAAATCTATTTTTTCTTGTTCAAAAGGAACTTACCGGATCTACCACTAGCTCACGCATATACACTCCACATCAGGTGTTCATACATGCCTTTGTTGTATTTTTTCCTGACAAGGGAATGGTCAGATCGAAGTGGCCAACCCATGCAAGCTGCATACCATTCGATGCAGCATAGAATGCTGATTTCAAATCTGTCTTCCAAATCTGCAGAGCGCCTTTGTAGGCGAAGTTATGGGCAGCTTTACTGAGGAAAAATCGTACACAAAAACTGCGAAATTAGGCACATCTTTGCTCTTTTAGCTCACCTCTAGGTACGTGCCATATGAAGTGACCTGGTTGCATGTTTTGGTTCAACACTGAGCCGAAAATGGCTTTGTACGGCCAAGTTTGCCCTTTTCACGCACAAATTCTTAGCAAACTAACGACTTTTAACGGCTTATAACTTCGCCTACAAAGGCGCTCTGCAGATAAGGAAGACAGATTTGAAATCAGCGTTCTATACTGCATCGAATGGTATGCAGCTTCCTTGAATTGTCCATTTCGATTTCTGACCATTCCCTTGTGAGCTAAAAATTGAGGAAACGAAATATTCCATTTCTTTTTTGAAAAAGCGATGTTGTGCTGTTTTTACATAAGCAAATGTATACTACAAACCTTTAGAAGCATAGTCGCAAACTTCCAGCTTTCTATAAGCCCTAGTTCCCGAGAACAATCATTTTAACATGAAAGACCCAAGCAAGAAAAGCAAAGTCCGATATTTCTTATCGTTAGAACTAGCGCTTATACGATTTCTTTCGAAGGCTAGTAGTAGGCATCTACTTATGTGAAAACAGCGCAGCATCGTTCTCATGGCATGAAAATTTTCGTTATTCCAGTTTCTAGCTTAGGGGAAATACAGCAAAGGCGTATATATTGTCCAATGTCTAAATTTTTCTCAAACAATATGTGAATTTTTTTTTCATTTTTTGTACATTCAAAAGTTCTCAGTTTTCGGCTTTTGGCTCGAAGTGTACCAAAGCTGGTGCGTACGCTTAGTGTTCTCTTATAGATCTTTCTTTGTTTACCGAATGGTACCCTGCTTTCTGATTTGAACTGAGAAGTCTATGAGCTATTTCGATAAAAATTTGATTTTAAAAACTTATGGGACAGAGCTTCACTTCATTCCTATAGAGGCAGTCTAAATAATAGTTATAGAACTAATCCTAAAAATAAATAACTTTGTACTAGTATAAATAGTTATGGAACTAACTTAGCATAAATAACTTATAATAACTTATATAAATAGATATAAAACTATTAGGTTGTCAAGAAAATAATGTCGGTTTTTATTTGTTTGCTTCAACAAAGCAAACAGACTCAACCCAACAAAGGGTAGGGGGTACTGTTCGATAGCGCAAAGCAAGCTCTACAAGATGGCATTCAAGGTTTTGCGCCAAGCTCGATCCACGGAGAGTTCGAACTCAAAATCTAAAGTTTTCCAAATGGTCAAAAAATCGAAAAAAATCAGATTTTCGTCCAAATAATTTCTACGGATCTCCCACTCGCTCACTTCAATACTTTCGACAGTTGATATCCATATGTGTGATTGCTATATTTTTTCCTTTACTAGAAACTGAGAAAACGAAAAGTTCCCTGATTTTTTCAAAACAATGCTGAGCCGTTATTGCATATGTAGTTCTGCACTACAAGCCTAGGTAAGCATAACTGTAGGTTTTCAGCCTATTTCGAGCGGTACTTTTCGAGAAATGTCGATTTTAGCACTGAAACTAAGAAGAAAATATCCAAATTCGATATTTCTCGAAAACTACCGCTCGGAGGCTGAAAATCTACAGTTAAACTTAACTAGGCTTGTACTATAGAACTACATTTGCAAAAGCGGCTCAGCATTGCTTTGAGAAAATCCGGGAGATTTTCGTTTTCTTGGTTTCCAGTCAAGGAAAAAATACAGCAATTGCACATATGGATATCAGATATCGAAAGTATTGAAGTGAGCGAGTGGGAGGTCCGTGGAAATTATTTGGACGAAGATCTGATTTTTTTCGATTTTTTGGGCATTTGGAAATCTTTAGATTTTGAGTTCGAACTCTCCGTGGATCGAGCTTGGCGCAAAATCATTAACGCCATCTTGTAGAGCTTGCTTTGCTCTATCGAACAGTACCCCCTACCCTTTGTTGGGCTGAGTCTGTTTGCTTTGTTGAAGCAAGCAAGTAAAAACCGATATTATTTTCTTGACAACCTAATAATTATAAAACTAATCCCAAAAATTGAACTTTTACCTCTTATATAGAAATTTTCTCATCAACGAAGTTAAGCATTTGCTTTTTATTTTTCTTTTTACATACTTAATGCCAACGACATTAATACTATATATACGCCTTCGTAGCGCTATAAATATGGTCTCAGGAAAATACATTGTTTTCGTCATTTTCCGCAATTCATTGCCCATCGACATGAAAAACGACTTTATTGCTAGGAAGCATGAAATGTTTTGGTCTAGAATTACTTAACAAGTAACTGGTCGGCTTTTGCAAGACATGATGGAAACTGCCTCATTGGCTCCACAGGTGGGCAGACCTACATTTTTATTTACGACAATTTTCAGAAAACGTTTTTCATCCGTTGATCTTGCATTAGAATATATGAAAAGCTTGTTTCAAAATGTTTGAAAGCATCTCATTTCATACAATACTTTTCCGACATACAACGATTGTTTTATTTGACGTACATACTGAAAATTTTATTTACACGAATGTCGTAATATTCTTGGAAACATTCGAACAGCAAAATTTTTCTCAGTTAAGAAAAGGCCGAGTAGAAATAAGCAAAGGTAAAACTTTCGGATCTTTTATCACTAAAACTGGACAAAATAACGACTTTGAAAGCAACTTATACCATTTAAAAATTGTTTTTTTCCTCTACAACAATATGAGCTAGCTATTATCTCACTAAAAACAGGTAAAAATTTTTTTCATTAGCATAATACTTTAAACATAATATTCTAGCCACCGATGTGTATCAACAATTACCTCAATGTATTTATTGGTCTCCAGCTATATAAACAACAATACCCACTCTGTATTCCATTAACAACGGTAATATAACGCTACATGTACTCCGAGCTTCAGGAGCCAAACGAATGCTTGTTCTGGCTCGTTTTAGTCTGATTCGCCGTTTATCGCAAGAATTTTATATATATCAAGTTGCTTTCCTGCATTGATAAGTCTATAAAATTCTAAGTAAAAATGTTCAACATACTTTTGAATAGTGTTATACAGTTCTTGAACATTACATATAAAATATATCGTAAATGTCATAATAATAGAGATATTAACGATCGAAAAATAACCCTTTAAAATGTTTTCTCAATCATCATGTATCGTCACGCTAATATATAAAGCTGTATTGGAGGATATCATAAGTCTTCAAAAAAAGTGCAAGACATATTCAACCATAGAATTTAGCTGAATTCTGATTTCAATAAATTTTCAAGGGAATACGAAGCTTGAACTTTCCATTGCACATTTCACACAGTTGATTTTCATCCAAATCTTTTGCTTCTCAAGCATTTAAATTGTGTCTATGCCTCAGACTATGCGTTTATTTTGAGCTTAGTAAGCTAGAATCATAAAAATACCAATATTGCCCTTTCAAGCATTGTGATGATTCTCGGATGGAATTTTTTTGAAGCTTATAGCGCGATTAGCGTGCAATTTAGTTTCCGATCAAGTAAAGCTTAGGAGGGATGATGAACTATAAAGCCTATGTTATCATCTACGAATTGAATCATTTACGGTCGTCTATCGTTATAATTTTCGGATGTTATCAATTTGAAATTTTTATTTGATATTATATTTTTGCAGTTGTTTTCAAGTTCAAACAAAGGATGAAATAAAAATTGATACAAGGTGAATTATGTTTCTTTGGTAGCTCACCTGTAGAAATTTATTTTGAGATTTAGATACCTTTGTAGAGTTTCACCCTGTTAGTTTCACCCCACCCTTTCAACCTAATTTGCTTGCAATAATAAGGTAAATTAGGACAAGGTTTCCAACATTATTGTCCGTAATTCATAGATACCCCAGAGTCAAGGTATTGATAAAAAGTTCTCTCATCTGATTCAAAAAATGCACGCTTTTTTCATAATTCATTATTTCGTGCTTTTGAAAAAAGTGTTTAAACTTCGCGCCCAATGAGTTTTCATGGCAATGGAGCTTCCTTCAGCTCTCAGTGAGGTCAGCGCAAGGAAACAAAATATGCTGTCCTT